TGTTTCCTATCATAATTTTATGATTTGTTGATGTCCATCCACATATTTTCACTTCTAATTATTATATTATTTTTTAATCATATATTTGAGTGCTAATAACAAACAACATGCTACAGTACAGTACGAAAAGTACCACAGTACAGAGTGATATTTTATCAAGCTTTTATCAATAGCTTTGTGAAGTCAGACGCATGAAGCTGGGGACAAAAACCAGATATTTGTAACAATTTATGTTGTACATAAACATTTCATTAATTGTGGTTTCTTTGATGTTTTCACAGTAATCTTCTGATACGTTTGTTTGTAATATGTATTCAGACCAGACATTTGCTATTATTTTTGAAAATCTATAAAAAAAAAACAACATAGTGTTATTATTTAAGACCCATCTTGCTCAAAGCTGAGACTCTCTGGTTTTGTGAGGGAAAATAGGATACTTGCTACTTCGCTGGTTAATGTGTAAGTGAATGCTTAATGCATTAATAGACACAATCAGCTCCCTGGGCCTTGAAAACCTCAAGATTTGCTAGCAGTACCTTTTCGAGCATTAGCAAAGTGTTTAGAAAATGTTGGGAAATCAATCCTTAAAAATTTCCAAGCAATTCAGATTAGTCAAGTGGCCTTACTGAAAGAACTCACTATAAAGAGATCTACCATGCTTTTTCGTAAACTGTGCATCGTTAGCTGTTTGTTAACTATCTATCACCCAGCAAACATCATAAGAACATGGACGATGAATGTGTCTATTAAAATGCATAACCAAGTGAGAGGTACAATGATGAGGATACAAGAATAAAAGATGGTTATTGTGGAGGGGGTATGTTTATGTGTGGTGAGGGGAGATGTTTGTGTATATAAATCGGGATTAATATTGCATAAATACCTAGAGTAGCTCCAAACAAGTATATTCCTGAAAAGCCTAAGTATGAAATAGGCAAGGAACAAAACATTGATAAGGTAAATTGGCTGTTAGTAAAAAGCGAAATAAAATTTTCAAGCAAGCAAACTACTTATATTTTCTAATAGCTGCTATATGAAGAATAACAAATTATGTTGTTAATACATACAATAGAAAGGAATGGAAAAATTCAACTAACCAATCAAACAATATGTCACATACATTAAATAGCATATACATGAAACAGAACTGCATAGATTATCGACAGTATAAAATCATGATTTTAATTGTATCCACAGTGGCAAAATATTACATATAGGTGGGCTAGAGGGAAAACACAGAAAGCACCAGTTATATACAAAGTGTACATATCTATTCTTGGGGACACACTTATGGTACCATTGGATTAAAAATCCCCAAAAGCCATAAATTCCACAGAAGAAAAAAAAACCAGTCAAATAAATAGTTTAGACCGATAACAATTATCAAGGGAAACATTAATTTTGACTATAATATAAATATGTATCTGTTTATTAGGTTTGGAGAGTTGAGTAGTCTTTCTTGTTGTAAGAGAAATTTTATTTAAGGATTGAACCCACACCTGGAAAGAGAGCATCATAACCACAAATCTGCGCATTAAAAACAAAAAAAAGAGCAGTGTTTCCAAAGCTTTATAGTTAGAGTGGACCTAATGTACAGTGACTTCCAAACTCAGCCATCAACTTTTAATGCCATGAAACACACATATCATAAATATTTAAAATTGTTTCTTTAATTGTTGATATTTATAAATTTATATTATTTCTTTTCTATTTACAATCACATCCATTCAACAGCGGGAAACCCGCCACTTACAGAATGGATCAAAAAGCTAGTGTAAAATATAAATGAGAATATTATATGAATATATATTATGTTACTAGTTGTTATGAGGGAGATTTCGCAACCTTACAAAAACGATAACAAATACATCATCTTTATTATTGTCATTCGTGCATAAAACATTCTTAACAATACATATATACGAGCAGAATATGATTGCTGATTCATTTAAAATCCATTGATCGCATACATTCTGACAGATCTGCTACTCAATGGGATGGATTGACTAAAAAAAATGATGATGTAAACGTAATCGTTTTCGTATGCTTTAGAAAACTCCCCATTATCCCAGCCAACTCCCATAACCACTTTTCCATTTAAAAAAAGAGTGAATCATCCTTATCAGAAATAATAAATTATGAATAGCTGGAATTTGTTTTCTTTCTAATTTCTTTTCAGAGCATGTGGATATTAAACATCTATAAATAGTTCTCATAAAAGCAGATGAATCTTGCTCATCATCGGATACATCCTCTCATGACAGATATTTTTATTGACACTATGGTAGGCCTAGCAGGCATATCTAAGTTAGTACCATGCATCTGAGTAGTTAATGACGAAATGTATGTTCTTCTTACCTGATACAGTGTCATTAGCATGAAATATCGGTAGGCCTAGAGCTGCTTTGATTGTGGTGTCCTTAAGTGCTAGGCCTTCAGGATACTGCAGGTGCTAAATGTATAAAATAAGATTTTATTCCTTTATGTTCAGGCTTTTTATTTTTTTTTTGTATACAATAATGTTGTAAACAAAAATTCCTACAAAGTCAATACAGGGTGCATTTAAAGTCAGGTTCCGGTGGTAAAAAAAAAAATTGATATGTTTTACATATGTATAAAGTGTATATTACATCGAAGAAGGAATACCTGTCTATATAGACCTTCAGTTTACATATCTTGACATTCTCTTTTCATTTTACATTTTGTCACAGGGCTAAAAAATTCTCATTAGGAAATTAATCAAGTGAAAAAAATAAAACACAACTTACTGCCACTGTCAAGTCGTTGGTACGAACGGCAGTCTGAGAATAGGCAACGAAGCCTGCAAATGTTTTACCCTTGTCAATCGACCATGTCTGCGCTGATGTAATCTCTGGCCTGAAATTAATACAAAAGAAAAAATAAATTTCATTCTATATATTATAAAAGGCTGATGTTATAATAGGCCCGACCTACAGTACAGTAGGCCTTTCTGAGAAATTTGGGCAAAGTGCAACCCGTGACAGTGATTTTTTTTTTTTTGCAGTCTGAGAAAATTAATTAAAAACCCTATGCGTGCAGCCCGGCAAACAACTTTGGCTAGAAAACACCTTGTTTTTTACGGCCTGACATTGATCATCTGCAAAATGAAATGTTAAAACTGAGAAGTAAGTGGTATAAAAGCAGTATATGAAGGTTGTGGGAAGCATACTGGAAACATCAAAAGTTTTTGTGTGGCCCTCTGTGTTAAATCTAAAATTCACAAATTGACCCTCCGACCGAATTTTTAAGCCCACCCCTGTACTAAACACCTTAAAAACTTCAAGATGATTATGACTTTCATTATGAAGTATGAAAGAATTACAGTATAGCAAAGAGCATTTTTTGCAGATTTTGTACACAAAATGTTCTCAATGTTTATGGAAACAACATGTGACTAACATAGAATTATGTGCGATCAGGGCAAGGAAAACAAGATTTGCTGGTCACTGTTCCATTAGCGAGGAGTCAGGATCCAAGTCTGTATACTGGATACCAAGACATGGGAGGAGGAATCCAAGACAACATATGTGGCAGAGCCAAGCCAAAGGAGGGATAAGCCGAAATTTTCAAAATTGAGTTTTGAGTACATATTATGAAACTACTGTAGACATTATTATCTTTAAAATGAAAAAAAAAATCACTTTGATATGATGGCGAAGTTATGGGCAATCAAAGTTAGGATACTTGGTATAAGTGTATTTTGAGAAAACTGGCTTTGAAAATCAGATTTTATGTCTGCACGCTAGGACAAGCTCTCTTAAATACCATTTTTAGGGCATTTATCGATTATAAATCAGAGAAAGGTAATTTTAGGATGAAAGTTAAATGTTTAGTATGTATGTTTTAGAGATTAAAAAAAAATTTGAAAAAAATGACCGATTTTACATTTGTGCATTTATTGGAAAACTGAATGTGAGACTTATCCCTATTTTGGCTTGTCTCTGCCACATATGGACAACATACACTGGATGAGAGAAGACCTCAAGACATGAAGGTCAGAAACTGTTGCAGAGGCCACTCAGAAGGCACATCCTAAAATGAAGGGCCTTAGCAAGATGCATACACTTCATTCATTTCATATCATGCAATGTATAATAATTTCTTATTTGTTGTTTACTTACCAATTCTCTCCTGGTTTATATTCATACAGTTCCTAAAAAAAAGTAAAATTAGACAAGTTCAAATATGTACATTTTGTTGGGTTTTAAACGGTTTAACATCAAAATAAAGAATTCATTTCATAAAGAGTAAGTAAGCAAATACTGTAGCCTAATAAAACAAATCTTATAATAATAATAAAGCAGCACTTATAATGTGCCGTCTTTCTAGCGTGCTATTCCGAGGCGGACCCTTGACAAAAAAAAATCATTATATATTTATTTATTTATTTAATATATTGATTTGCTGGAAAAGCAAAACAATGAAGCTAAATTTTATATTCTGGTATATTTTATTCAATCATCATTGCATAATATATTTACATGTATTCAAAAAAACTAAAAACTCTTTTAAAATTATATTAACATTAATAACAATTTTAAAATTTCTCGGAAAAATATATATGTTTCTTCATATGGTTTCATAATAATGTAATAACACAAAAATTAAAAACCAACCGTTTCTGTTTCGTTAACGAGGTACAGCCGATAACTATCAGCATTAATGCGTGCAGCAATGCACTCAGCAAGCTCATGAAGCACAAAAACTTTGTGCGACTGATGTTGCAAATCCTGTGTCAGTTCAAACAAAAGTTTCCGCCGATCTTTTTGATGAGAACCCTGAAATGAAGAAAACTTTAAGTTCAGTTAATTTATTTTTCTCATGACTTTAACAACTCCACTCCAAAAGACAATATAAATAAATAACTAATTGGCCATCATGACTAATTGATTACAGGTAGATTCAGCATGTGATGTGCTGTAGTCGGTTTTCAATTTCTGAGAGTATTACAGATAAACTGAATGACCTACATTGGATAAAAATTATTTATCTTCAATTATAACAGAAAAAAAATATTTAGAAAATAACATGGAATAAGCTTCATTAGCCATCAGTTTTGACAATTATCATTTCAAAAATAAGCAAAACATACTTGACCTTGCATGTACTAATTGCTTCCCAGAAGCATTGCAATTTCCTTTGATAAGGTATTTTGTTAGGATTCAGTTCATGATTCTAGTTTTGTAAACAATGTTTGCAGACTACGTAGGTGTATATTATTTGATCGTTGATATTATGGGTAGGTTCTTAAACTGCACATCGATCAAAGCACTCAATTTTGATTGAGATATCCTATTAGTTCAATAACTGACTACCACGACTGTTAAAAAGCAAAGTGTAATCTTCTTTTACTTGTTGCTTAGCGATAATAACAATTCGACCTGAGACATCCAATAAGTGAAAGGTAAAGTGTAATGATTCTGTGATGTTCAGAATTCTGAAACTGCAGATTTAATGGTTACCATCCATTAAGTCTGTAAACCTATTGTATCTTAAAATAGAATGTTGTACACAACTTCTTTATCAAGAACATGGACTATATTTCATTTTAAGTTTCTTAATGTTGATGACTACTAAGATGACAATGATGGCCATTATGTACATAATAATTATGAATAATGATGACAATGACACTAATGATGACAATGATGATCGTAATGAAGATGACGATGAAGATGACAAAGACGATGATCAGGCCTGGGCAAAAAATGTTTGTGCTCTCTGACTATGAAAATTGTTTTAATAAAATGCTTCCAACACCAAATGTTATCTGTACACTATATCAAACATAACAGTTTGTTTAACTTTCTCTACCAAAATGCCTCCGGGACATTCATGATTTCTCCGACCTCAGGTCACACGGTCATGCACTTTTTAACCAGCCCTAACTATGATGATGATGGAAAAGTTGTATCAATTTACCATGAATTCTAGAATTGAAAAAAGCCAAATACTGAATAATTTGAGGAATCAAAATAATGAGAATGAGCAAAAAAATATTTTTGTTGGTTTTCATTTTTGAACTCAGTCTCTGCATGCTTTACAGAGTACTTTGAAATATGATTTGAAAAATTCAACTGATGTGTAATCTGCTATCTTTCTTCATTATAGTGTAGTAGCTGATTCTAGAGCTTGGGCACGGAAAGGGTGCATACTCAATAAAACTTACCTTCCATCTCACTGATCTCTTCGAGTGAAAATCTTCTGAAAAAAAAAAAAAAAATTAAATAAAGTAATATTTTTTTTTTTTTTTTTTATTAAATAAAGTAATATTTTTTTTTTTTTTGTGCGAAATATTTTGTTATCTCCCTACTGTACCTTTCCCTTTAATGAAGCTTCTTACACTCAACTGCATATATGATCTACATGCTGGTTGTGACGTAATTGCAACAGTTAAATAATTCCTTATATCACCTATACCATAATTATTTGAATAACTATAACACAGGGTTTAGCGCCATCGAGAGAACGCAGGGACGCACAGCATGAATACCTAATCCATTTAATCGGCCTTGTCAGATGAATCCAACTCTCATCTTGGTAGGTTGACACGGAATGGAAAGACAGAGTCTTTAGCAATGCAGGTTGTCAAATTTAAATCGTATAATCACATCATGTGACCAGTCTGAATTAGACCATGGTGACAATATCTTCCATATCATTTGATATATTGTTGCTAATGATTAATTTTACCAGTTTCTTCCTTACTATGTTGCTTTAAATTCCAACAAATGTCTTTCTCATGCCTCCCTCCCATATCCTTGCTTGTTACTTTTTCAGTTGTTACCAATCTCAAGTCCATTGTCATCAAAATATTTAAAAAAAATCATTATACCAGCTTAGCAAGTCAGCTAAACTGTTGGTAGCCACTGTGTGCTGAATTGTGGAGATTTTTACATGAACATGTTCTTTTCAATTCCATCTGCTCCTCTTCTTGTGGATTGGATTGGATTATTCGGTGCAAAAACCAAGTATAGCCCACGAAAATCTATAAGACTTATTTCCAGTGGGGTCCTTATGGTGATTGGGCAGTACACCGGGAGACAATCCCCTACTCTTTTCTGAAGGCTACATTCTTTAAACGTGCACATGGACCATAAATGCACACGGGCCCAACAGATTAAACGTCTCATCCGAAAGACGGTGCGCTATTGTAACTTGTATTTCAGCCCTCCAGCTGAAACACAAGGAGAGGTAGCGATGGGAATTGAACCGGGCACCTAGAGATCTCTACGGTTCAGCGCACACACAGTGGCTACCACCAGATTAGCCGACTGAGCTAAGCTGCTCTGTTTCAGCTGCAATGCATGATGGAATAGCACACTGTCTTCCACAAGATGCATTCAAGGAGATATAACAAATATTTTATTTTCATACCTCCTTGATACATTTAAGTTGTTAGTCCAGTGCACATTTAAGTTCGTAGCCTCTCCTCAGAAACGAGTAGGAGATTGTCACCAATTCAGCAACAGAATAACCACATTAGAAATAAGTCTTCAGACTTTTGTGGGTTATCCTTTAAATATTACACACACTAAAGAAATCTAATTTGCCTTGATATCTCTTTAACCATGAATTTTATACACCTAATTATTGCCAACACATCCTTTATTCATTACTTTATAATCCCACAGGATTTTTTTTTCATTCTCCGATAGAATCACATTTCACCTGCATCTAGTTTATTTCTTTTTTTTTTCTGACTGATGGCCTAACCTTTTAAAATACATCAGCATTGACAAATTTACATATCATTTTATAAATCTATCATTATTGAGCTAAACATTTTTCATCTTAGTAAAAAATGATTTCACAATGACTAATTCTTATATTATTCCCTTTTGCATCTTTGTGATGTTATGCAAAACTATAATACTGTATACAACTGTTTTTTATGTGAGTGTTTTCTCCCAGTGTAATACAGTATCAATATTTATAAAATAAAACAATTTCTGTTAATCATCATTATCATTTATGGCTGATAAACATTTCATTACCATGTATCTTGTGAGTTTGTGTTTGTTAGCAGTAGGTTATTCCCAACAATTGCTTCCAAATATTTACTTTTATTTTGTAGAATTTATTTAGTGCACATATCCTGAAAAATCTGCTCAAGGCTCTTTTTCCCCGGTCATCGGATACAGAATCAATCAAACACAACATGCAACCTCTTCCGCTCCATGGGGAGTATTCCTAGTTATGCGTGTAATCAGCACTACTATTTCATTTCACGCTCAACATTTTTGATATGCGTACAAAAAATCATGCTGTCTTTATGTTTCAATTTAAGTCTAACCAATTGCCTCCAATCTTTAGTTCATACTTTCAAAATTTTAGTTCAATCCACAACTACAATACTAGAAACAGGAGTAACTATGTTTATAAGCGTTTAAATACTGTAACTGGCCAAAGTGATATCTCATTTCAAGATGCTAAAGTTTTGGAATGCATTACATTCGTATCTAGTTTCTTCCACCACATGAATTTCTGGTACTTATCTGTTATACTTTTTATATTAATGCATAGGCCTATATTATATTATACTATATATTTTAATTTGTCATCTCTTTGAATTAAGATTTATTTATTGGACACATTCTTATATTCAGGACCCCATAATTAAAGCTTGCTTTACAGTGGGGTACCTTTTTCACAATTATCTATTTTCATTAAAAATTCATTGTGTTTATATGTGTATATATAATCTGTTTTGTGAAATAAATATACTTGAATACTTGAAAAAAAAAATAAAAACCTCATTTGATATTTTGACCTCGGCCTCAATTTGTTATGAAGTGTCTTGCCCATGGACACAAGCAGTGTGGGCATAGGTCTTGAACCCCCGACCTTAATATTGAAAGTCAAACGCCTTACACGCTGCGCCACACGCTTCTGTAAATAGTGAACCAAGTTAATTTTTTTGCGCACTGTAAACAGGATCAACATTATGTAACGTTTTTTTGAGTTTGCAGAAGGCTCTTGATTTGGCCAAAAAAAATATATTTGTGTTGGCCACATTTTTGGAAAATCCCAAAAAATGGGTAGGTCAGTAGGAAAATTTTTTTTTTTTTTTTTTTTACAACCAAATGTGTTTTATACGCCTAAAAAGTTGAAAATACAAAAACTATACAACAATTTTGGATTCATACCATCCAGCAAAATAGGCTAGCCTTGGCCACCTAGCCTCGCCTTGGCCGCCTAGCCTAGCCAAAGCAATTCCATCCCTATTTTGCTCATAAAAAAATATTGTTCATTGTCAAAAACAATATAAAAAGCTAGAATGCCAACCCTTAATTTCATAAAATTTGGGTCGGTTGGGCATGGCCAATACAATTTTTTTTTTTTTTTTTTTGGCCTTATTGATAAATCTTGCATCAGCTTTCCTTATTTCCATCATTAGTAACACACTCCTGAAGGTTTGTGTTTTTCTAGCTATTTATTTTTTTATGCTGTTATATGCTTGATTGTATCTTTCTTTCTTACTATATAATATAGTATTTATACAACACTATTTCTAAAAGTAAAATTAAACTACCTTTGTTTTAAATATTATAAAAATTTAAAGAAACCATGACACCAGGACTGCCATTGTAATAAATAAACTGGAAAATAGATTCACTAATGGCTTATGCTTGTAATTATTTTACAACTGAACAATAATCTGTACAAATGCCCATAACAAACATATTATTAGCTTATTTAAAGTACAAAAAGAATTTTAATAAATATAGATTCCGTATTTAACAATCATTATGTCTGACTCAAATATTAAGGTCTATTCTAAAGGTTATAACCTGAAAAAATGAAGTATTGTGCAATAATGGAAAACCATCTTAACACCCTTAAGAGAGAACACTGTTTGCTAGTTGTAGCATCATTGTACTGTAGTAGCCATAGCAACTTAAAAGCGTAGCTGTTGACTTTTCTGTTGTCAGAGTTGTTACTTCAAACAGAATGGGAACATGGCCCAGAAGTAAACCCCCTTGGGTGAAAACACTGGAATTTAAGACGACTCGACTTTTTCTATCTAGATCACTCAATCAAAAGCTTAAACTGTCTGTCAAACAGGATAATAAAAGAAACGTTACTAAAAACCGCCACTTATAATTTTGAATTTGAAACGCCTTTCTAATGTACATGGTATAACAAGGTATACCAGTAGTACAGGTAGGTGAGTGAAAATAATGATGACATGCAATTTAACGAATGTTGAATTTTCCCCACTATCACTAATGAGTCAGTATAAGATAAGAACCGTGATTACAAATATAAGCAACAAAAATATAATTCTATAGTAAAGAAATCTATAAAAAAAAAAACCAGAATCACCTACAAGATTTTTTATCGCAAGTATTTTAAGGGAACATACTGAGCATTCAGTAAGGCAGGGCAAACACATCATTCCTATTAAATCTCCTGCCTGCAAAACACCATAGAATAGCACTGCAGTACCCACTACAACTTGGGAATCGGATTCAACTAAAGTCACTAAGCGCAAGCTTGGCTGTTTAGTGGTTAAGACACCAGGCTATTTATCTAGAGGTTGTGGGTTCAATTCCCACCCCAATTACTTGCGAGAATTTTGTGAATTTAGTATGAAAACATGTCAGGTAGGCCAAAAACATCATTCCTATTAAATCTCATGAAACAAAACAGCCTCGAATATTATTATACTTATAAAGTCCAAAATTATCAGCTTAAATAAGTCAAAAGGCAAGCAAGAATGCAATATTTGATGGTCATCGCACCTACTGTAACGATGGAACCATTAAAGAAAGTCAAAGAAAAACTTCAAAATTGTCTTGTGAGCTTTAATACAATATAATAGTGTTCAATAGTCAATTTTTAAAAATTACTAATTAACTTATGAATTTGGAATTACAATAGAAACTGTTTATAATTACACAGTTCATAACATTTAAAAAAATCCACAAAATGTTTAGTCTCAATTATAGGGGTGGCTTATATTATAGCACAAGTAGGAATTTGATAGAAATATAGAACGAGCAAGAAAAACAAATAAAATTTGGAAAACAGTATGTACCAAAAGGGAAATTAACGTAATGGAATGATAGCTAATTGACTGATAGATACAGAGATCATGTGCCCGGACAAACACATCAGCATACTAAAATCTTGATGTAAATTTTAATGTACAGTAATGCGATCCTGGTAATTGAATATCACGTTATAGTTATCATGTTAGATATCATGACGTTCAAAGTGAATTAGGAAAACGTGATTTGTGCCATCTTTGATACAGTTCCTATTAAATACCATAGTCTGCACAATTTAATATTGATTGACCATTATTCTCTACTATAATGACAATTACTATGTAATATCCTAGATTTACACAAACCAAAATTTAGCAAAATGTAACAAGTAAATTATGTGTGAAACTCCCTGTAATTTTGTATTGATGCTTGATGAAATGGAAGGCCAACAACATAGCAATGGGGTGTGTGTTGAAATGATATAGTTACTTCATTAGTAAACTGTAAAGAAATTTATCTTGTTGATGTACTATGGTTTACTTTAAACTACTACAATTAATATTTCTTGAGTATAATTATATATTATAATAATACCAAATATTCTGATAATGAAAAACTTTTCTTGTGTATAGTATAATATTTATTGTTATTCATTCAATATAACAAAGCATCAATTTAATTTAATAAAAATTAAAAAATCATTTCAGTTCCCAAAAGCAAAACAATAACAAAGACAAAATGGTTATGAGAATGGTTAAACAGATGATAACCTTTTAAGCTTGTAGGCTTCTTTCAGAGAGGGTCCCCACCAAAAATAGATATAGAACTATAATTAAACATACAAAAACTTTAATGTACAAAACTTAAATGTAAAATATTTTTAATTTTACAAAAAAAAAATGAAGATAAATAGAAATAGAATTATTACATATTTTACTTATTATTATACAAAAATATAAATATTATTTTAAATTTACAAAGTTACAAAATATTTATTATTTCTATTATTAATATACAATTATTAATTATAGTTGATTTAACTACTTAAATCAATTTATTTAAATCAATTCAATTTGAATGTACACCATTTTAAATTTTACAAAAATATTGAAAATATATGGAAATATAATTCAAAAGATGTGTACTGTATAAAAGGCTTTTGTTTATTTGACTTTTCAGAGGTTTTAAAACCTTCGTATTATGCAAAACATTTTTAATTACGCATAGCAATAGTGTCTCTTTCTATGATTACGTTACTATAAATAATCTTTAAGAACTTGATCCCTCAAGGAAGGACTGACCTATGTGTCAAGTTATGAAAAATGTACATATGTACAGTGATCTGTCATCCCATGTTAAAGAAATTGACATGATCAAATGTGAACAGGTTTACAATCATTACCATGCTGAATACCTGACAAATTAGGATGTTTGTAATGGTTAACTTTTTAAAATTTCCATGCTATTTAATGTAACCATATTTTTGATAAGTTGCATGGTCATGGATTGTCTCAACAGTGGTAAACAGTTGCTAGTTGAAAACCACATAAATATAACTACAGGCTACTACAGTAGCTCTACGATTTGCTGTCACATCTACGTTGTGGAGCAACCGTTGGTGAAAGTTGAAATGACCGCTACCAGCAACTGGTCAAGTGTAGGAAGGGGAGACAATAGGCTTTTAAGGCTCATATTATCATAAATTCTAGTTAAACACTACTTGAACTCTAACAGGAGATATCACAACTCACCTTTTCCATTAACTGGTGCACGATGGACATGCTGTCGTGAACTATCATGCTTTGTCGTATGCCTTGCAATCCATTTCTCTAGTTGTGATTGGTTGATATTATTCAAAACATACTCTTCCACGAAGTCTGGATTTTCATTTAGAAATGTTTTCACTTGCTCAGGCATTAATGGTTCTGAAAAAATGAATTTAAAGAGGGAAATCTGTTACGATTGTAATTAGACTTGTTGATAATGACACCTGCCTTACCATAAGCCCTTTGGCAATATCTAGTGGGGTGCGTAAGGGGATGAACTCACCCCTGCCCTTGAGCCCCCAATTCACCTCTACGTCCCTCATCATCACCCCACCCCTGCCCCCACCCCATTTCAAGACACCTAGAGGTAGATTACTTTTTTTGAACCTGTTGACAATTACTTGCTGGTAGATGACATAAATGAATATAAAGTAAAAATAAACTTCATGAATATTTGGATCCATTATACACAAACTTTGCTACACATGACCTACAAACGTAAAATCACTTTTTTTATCAGTAACAACTCATGAGTGAATCAATATTTTTTTCAATTATTGTTTGAGAAACATTTGTGCACATTACAGCAGCATCAACAGCCAACACAATTTAATGAGACCGAAACAAGGTGTGCATCATGCCAGATTGTTTTCAAAAATGATCAACAGTATACAATTTTTATTTTAAGAGATTGTATGAGTACAGTATAGTGATAATTTGTCCATATATGGGTATGATATGACATCATAATTCCCAAATATAAAAGTGTTATGACTGTATCTTGCTAGTGTTTAGAAGTGATATGACATTACCTCGCTCATATATGAACAATTCACAACAATCTGTAACATACACTTGGATAACTACTTTCAATAGATCTTCACACACAAGCAAAATGTCTGATAAAATGTACACAGCACAACACATTTTAAAATGCAGAAAAAAACATGTCTCTTTATGAGTCTTGGTGAGTGGAGTTGCCCTGCTGTCACAAGGTTTCAACCCAGGTCAGTTTTTCTACAAACACACCAACGCAACAGTTTTAAAATTTAAAATTAAGATTGCAACAAATAAATGCTGTTGGCCATCAATTCTATCAATGCTATCATTCAGTTATTATGTTAAAAAGTAATTATTAAAAGTAAATGTATGTACGTATGTTTGGAGATTGAGTAGATCAGTAGCTCTCCATGGCTCATGAAGCAAATAAAATATTGAAGTGTATAAATTGTTTTTTATGAAATAGAGGAAAATAAATCTTAGAGTTTTATAGAACCAAAACTTATGGTTAAAGTAACATTCATAAGCTATGCTCACATGCAGTACCTCAAACTATTTTGAGTTTTAATCACAAATTTATAAAATGATAAGTTAATCTACCTAACTGAATTTGACAAACTTTGTATAAATAACTTGAGCACCTTGTCGAGTTGCAACATGAATAGAATTGCGGGAAATGATGTTGGTTTCTCTTGACAATCGATGACATAATCTAGCATTCCCTTAATTATACCACAGGTGTTTTGCTTGCTGAACTTTGTTATGGTACCTAAGGCGAGACTTTTGTTATACCTTGTTTCACGAATCCGCCACCCACCAAATAAAAATAAAATTTTATTTTCGGCCAATTAGCATACCTAATGCCACAACAAAGATTTTCTTTATTCTTATTAGGCACACCGCTATCTTGAAATCTCCTCTGACAATCTTTATAAAAATTAGTTTGCGAAACAAGGTATAAAAAGAGTGTCACCTAATGTGAGGCGGGAGGCAAATGAATCATATACTGTATTCATAGTGTTAATCTATTTCATGGAACAGGCGGGGAAATTGTTGTAAAAGCCTCTGTATTTTGCTTCCAAATGAAGAGGGAAAAGCCGCATTCAGTCAACCTCGTTGTCGGCACGGATGCGCACTGCTCGTGTAAATCTGGGTATACCGTGCACAGACATCTAAGCCTAGGCTCACGTACGTTTCGCGTTGACAACCAGCTATCTAAGGAAATTAAAATGTCCGAGAGGATGACGCTCGCCGATTAGTCGGATTATCTGTCAATCAAATCTCGTCGAGACGTTAATTGTTCCTGTCAAGGGTTTTACACATCTGGTATTTGCAGCAAGCAAAAACAACTGAATGAAACTTTGTGCGGGGGAAAGGAGAACAAAAAATTATCAGATGATCTTAGGGTGCATCAAGGAACGTCAGTGTGGGTAAGCTGATGAATATAGATAGGTTGCTTTTAAAACAGAAGTGCTTTAAAAGAAAGTAGCAAGATTTTGAACTTAATGCAGGAATCAATGGGAAGCCAAATGAGATCTCGGAGAACAGGGGTGATGTGCAATCAACGTTTTGTGAATGTTATTATATGTGCAGAGGAGTTTTAAAGCCTCTGGTGTCTGTAAATTTGATATTACAGTCACCTTCAACATAAGAGTAGTTATAATATGTGCAACTATACTTTATTATCAAAGTCAATGAAAATGCCTAAAAGTGTATTTACATTGCGGTCAATTATAAATTAATTTGGTAAACTTGGACTTGCATTATCATTTACAGGTAAGCACTTAGGTTCACAACACTACGTGGGATTGATTACTCCTTTGAAATACAATATGGCAACTTGCTTACTATCAAATTTAGTAATCAATCTGAAAACCATGGCACCAACGTCACATCGCAATTACCTCAAGAATTTACAAGACATGCTACAATACTTGAGACAAACAATCATTAATGTTGGCAATGGACCTTACAATATAAGGAGCTGCAATTACTGAAGTCAATATTGATATTTTTTAATGAAACCGCATCATTATCATGGTGGTGGAAAGTGGTATCTTTGAATGTTGCTTTTAAGCGCACTTTAAGGATGTCAATAATTGTTGGCAAGCTGTCCACGTTACCATAAAATGGCTCCTTGAACAAAATTGGGGTATTCTGCATTTGTATTACTAATCTACTCTAGAAATCACCAGTATCAAAATTAATTATTTTTATTCTATTTATTTTATTCATTTCGGCAAAATACAGGACAAAAGTCGAGGATAAGCGAAAGCATAAAAAAGCTGTCACTTTTTTTATACCTTGTTTAGTGAACCCGCCACCAGCCAATAATTTTGTATAAAAATAAAATTAAATTTTTGACCAATTAGCACATCTGCTAATTGCCAAAAAAAAATGGAAATTTCAGAAAAAAAAATTATTAAGCCTGCTGCTGCTTTGAAATCTCCAAGTATATTTCTTCCTAATTATATAAATTTAAAGCATGTAACCATCCCATTACTAACCATTTTCACCAATAAGTTTTTGGCAAAACTATTACTAAAGAAGAACATAAAATTTTATTTTATTTTTTATCCGCCTGCCCTCCGCTGACGATCTTTAAAAAAAATAAGTTCGCGAAACAAGGTATAAAAACAGTGTCGCCTAAAGCTACATTACACTAGACACAATAACGACATATCATTGCGTCGTTTATATTCTTCAACACTTGGCGTACTTTTATCGTGTCATGTCGTTTTCGTTGTCGTGTTTAGTGCAAATGTAGCTTAAGGTGTCCTTCTCCCGAATTACAATTAGATAAACAAAACAAGATCAATAAAATAGATACAATATAATATTTTTACAACTGTTTTTAGTTTAAGTAGTTTTAAGTCAAATATATTTATTACTACTTCTTCGAGGAATACACTATAAAAGAATGGACTTATTATTAAAATAAATTTAAAAATGTGTGACACTTAATGATTGCTTTAAAGAAAGTTTTTAAAAAAATGTTAAATGAACCATAAAACAATTCAAATTTTAAACTTATATTGAAAAATGGGGAAAAGAAAGAAGAAAACTACTACCTTCGACCTCCATACTTTTGCATCTGATAACTGAGTTAGCAGATGCAGAAGTATGGAGGTTGAAGGGAGTAGAGGTAGATCAAAAAGTGGAAATAAACAAAGTAGAACAGGAAAATGGACTTTTTTCAAGTTTTTGATGATTAAAAAAAAAAATCTTTAATATTATTTTATTATCAAAAAGTCTGATTTTAATGCAAAGAATGTGTTCATACTCTTAAGCTCTGTCCAGACTATCAAATTTTATTTGACAAAAACCTGTGACATGCCTAAATATGGCCATGATTTATCAAAGAAAATTTGATAGTGTGAACATACATTAACTTTCATTTAGACATAAAAAGTAAGAGCAATTCACCTTTTTTTATTTCCCACTTTATTAGTTTTATGTGGCATTATCTGATCTTATATTGCATTCTAGGATCCCGTTTATCAATACAATGTGAATGAATGCACATAAAGAAAGCACTTTAGAATGGTATGACATATAGTATATTTTTACTGCTACATACTAGTGCAAAAAATATTGAGATTTTGCTTTCTTGTTTCGCATGAACACTCTTGGTGGCAGCACAGCCTGTTGCTACGGCCACAGAGCATGCGTTTGAGACAGTGGTGGCACAACTAAGAGCTGGAGAGCCTGGGGACAAACTATATGGATAAATGTGAAAATTTGTGAAAAATTTGAATTGTTTACTATTAGCATGATTATTTACTTCACTTATTATCATCATTTGATTATTTGAAGAAGAAACAACAGCAATACATTTATTTTTTACTCTTGATTTATTGCTCTGAATCCAGCGAACTGAATCCTGGGTTATGGGTACAGCAGTATTTGATCATTTAAAAGTGAGCCTTAACTGGTGACATCGTACACAAAATGTCACACTTTTCCTGGTTTCTCGCTAACGAATGAGATTGTGACAGCTCTCTGATACGATCGAATATCCATCCAGAATTCAGTTTGATGTGTTTCACTTAAAGACATGCACTTATATACTCTTGTTGTTGAACCTACGCTCTTGAAAATGCATTAATCAAACGTCACCTAAATTAGCTATTCGTATAGTCGATTAAATATTATCTATGAGTATGCAGTACATACCTTAATTAATTTGATGTTTGATGATTTTCATTTCTTTTTAATCTCAGAGAATACAGAGCCTCAAATTATGACATTGAAAACATTTGAAAGGGCATCAAATTACATTGTCATGGCAACTAACAGCAATGAAAAAAAAGCTTTTTGTTAGAGCTTTCTCGTTAGCTGTTCAATCAAAATGCTTTTTTAGGTGAAGTAATAGGTTATCGATGAGTAATCATATCATTATTTAGTACACCTTGAGCAGATATTCTGGGTGTAGTTAGTGCGACAACAACAACCACAAAATTATATACTGTAAATTGGTTTTTTTTTTTATTTTGGAAATAATGACGGCAAATTATTTAAGCCAAATTTACAGTAATCCTCGAAAACACCCATCCTTAAAAACTGAGCCTTGTTCATAGCATATAACAGGTTTTTTTGTGTCTACTGTCCAACAGGAGCCAGGGGCGGATTCAGAGATGTCTGAAAGGGGGCCGAAAGTGGGGCCACTCAGGATAGCACTACCCTAGGGGGTCCGGGATTGCCAATACAGAAAGAGTGGATGGGTTTGAGTTAAAAGTAGCAAAACAAAAAAAACTGTTCATCAGTAGGCACATGCGATGGGAGCCTATTTTATTTTTACCTGATATGACTATCTTAGAAGTGAAACATACACCTATCTGATTTAATTTCATTCCTCAATAAATCAAATTATGAAACTATAAGTTATGCCACATTTAATATCTTTATCTTAAAGTATCATTTTGTTTCTCATATCAATAAATTTTCCAGGTTTCAAGTTCAGAAATCTACACTCAAATAGTGCAGGTAAAAGATGATAAAGGTAATGTTATATTGGAAAATTAATGTACTATCATTAATATTGTTTTAGTAGATGTACAGTAGTAAAATTAGAATTCTGCCTTCCAATTAAATTAAGTTACTGTAGGTTTCAAATTCAGAAGCAGGCACTCAAATTAGTCAAAATAGTAGAAAACGTTCGCATGTACAGTACTTGCACAAAAACTGACAGGTTAGTTTACCGTAAATACTATGCCGTTGTGTATAGGTAGGCTATCAAATGATCTTTACGTTGGGATCAATTAAAGAATAATTTACCTTAATTAACAAAGTAGTAAGAATATGTCTACCACATCAAAACCTTATTGTTGGAAGCGGTCTTGTCAACTTTGTCAGGCCTACCACTATAATAATATCGATAATCAATATTATTCATATTGTCTACACTTGTTTTCTAACAGACTGCAATTTCAAGCAATACCTACATTATCTTTTACACAATAGTTTCCATAGGTCATAGGAAAATCACAAGGACAGGGTTGTAGATGAAGTAAATTAAGGGTGGGAGACAAACATTTTTGGGTGGGAGAGTGATAACATTAGTAAACTCTAAATAATAAGAGTAGACTTTAAGGATGGAAAAGTAAGTTACTGTATTAAGTGTGGGTGGAGGGCAATGAAATTAGCTTTAGACTGGGTGGAAAACTTGAAGGCTGGGTGGCCCCGCCCATCCCTGAATGGGCTTCCAGGGGCTTCATCAACCATGTAAACATCCCACCATTTTACAATTTATAGTTATAGACTTGCCCCATGATAGCAAAATGCTGAAGATAAGAGTATATTATATTGATTGATGCAGTTTTTTGCAGTACGTGCAAGAGTGTAAAATCTGTTGCTTCCATTCAAAATTGAATTCTCAAAGAAGCCTCAAAAAGGCCCCCCAAAAAACTTAATTATTAGTTTATCAGCCTTGTGCACATGTCTATGAAATGTTTTTGGTTTTTTTATTAAATAGTCTCAATCATGTTTTCCTTTCAATATTAATACTTCAGCAAAATGAAAAATTTTAAAAAAAGCCTCCCTCCCTCATCACTTTTCCAGCCTTGAAAGGGTGATAAACTTTCATATTTTTATAGGGCCTGTCTGTTAAGGCCTCTGCAAACACAGAAGTACTTGAGTGTGAGTCCGACTTGGGGCAACTTTTTTCACAGTACATTATATATTGACAATAACTTTGAATCTGAATCTTTCTTTCTCTTTCTTTCTTTATTGATATCTAAACAGGAAGTCCCACCTCAGCATGGCTGATTTTCAGGGGAGTCCTCTCACATAAAAACTTGTAAAATTCACAGAAAAAATTAGGTATTAAAAATTAGCAAGTAGGACGTCAGGGACATCACGTGAAAGCCACGACTCTGAAATAACAAAAATGTAAGGATATTTTAACACATTTTAAAAATATCTTTAATTTCATCTAATTTGGGCAAAAGACTTCTAATATTAATATGCAATAAGATAATGACTTTCCTATTAGAATTAACTAGTTTTTTAATGTCAATATAGGAGAATAACTTTTCAATTTGTAATACAAGCCATTAAAATTTAACATTATGAAAATATTGTGTTGATATGTACATAATGAAAACTTTTGTATGCATGAACGCACTTACCACAGACCCCACTAAATGTTGTATCTGCTATTCGCTTTAAATAGGGCAAAAATGATTCTAAATAAAAAACTCTGAAGAAAAAAATGATCACTGGTTTCTAAGCATTAGACAAAGATGATGAGCCACACTTGACTGTTTTCCCAAAGTTGTTGAGTGCTGTGAAGCAGACATTTAGTCTACACCAAAAACACAATAATTTCAGCCTTTTTCCTATACAATATCTTAAGGTGTTGTCAACTTTGAAAGAAAAATGATCACTCAATTTTGCATTGATTGGAAAAATATATCAATGACTATAGAGCTTAAAATATCTAGTTTTAACATCTGATCACCTCAGATTGTCAAATGAAACCATTCAATTAATATAGTCAATTTTGTTGAAAAAAAAAACATACACTGTTTTTTGTATGGCCTTAACAACAATATCTGGGTAGGACTTAGCAGAAAGGTTGATTGCCAACCAACCAGCCCTTGGCAACACAAATATTTTCAATACAGTAGGCCTATGTATCTGAAATGAATTTATACCTTACTACATAATACAGTATTTATTTAATTGCCATTGAAACTATTTTTGATACAAATAAGTCGTTCTTTCATATTGAAGTGTAGCACTAACTTGTAATATAAAACCATAACACACCATATTAAGCCTCTCCCCTAACCCATTCTTCTTTAAACACAAAAATTGACAATTGGGTTGGGGAATGGCCCTGGACTTAAACCCAATGATGAGACAGCAAACGCGATAACTAGCGCTACATACTGTATTTAGTGTATACAATGGCTCGTGTGCACTATAAAGAACCCAGTACAGTACATCCTTCAAGACGAGTAGGGGGATACCCTAGTGTACTGGAAGAGACATCCCCTGTGGTGGACGACGAGAGTTTCTGGTACCGGGTTACCAGGTAGCGCAGACATGAATGGACCCTTAGGGGTGAAAGTCATTGATCGAGTTCCTAGAACACACTAGAACACATAACAAGCACCCTGAGCATCTTATATTAGATGGATATGGCACTATATAAAACTACACTATTATTATTATACTGTAGCAGGTCTAGCCGAAAGGCATCAGAGTTTAGCCTTTAGGAGTGGGCCTTAATTAGTGAGCCCGTGAAAATCTTACCTGAAGGATACAGATAGCCATCACCAGAGTCAATGTGAACTGAGGTGTTTTGGTGTGAATGGTGATTAAAGGATGGTGCCATAAGGTATTGTTTTGTACTACCAGCTGATAATGTTGTTGATTGACCTAAATAAACAAAAAAATAGACACAAAAATTATTCATAAACGGGTGAAAAATATTATCATTAAAATTTATTTTTCACATGGACTTTTCTTGTTTATAATAATCTTCGGCTGCATTTGACAGGTTTGTTTCGTTGACAATGATTATTATTATTTTCATTCAGCTGTTTCGATAATAGACTTCGTTGATGGCAAAAATTTAAGTAAACTAGAATACGTTAATTTGCAATAAGTTATCCATGTGACCAAAACAAACATGATTGGTCAGTTTAGCAAAAACATTTGCATTAATAAAATTTAGATTAAAATTTCAGAAATAGTGATTTTATAGAATTTTGACTACACAAAGTCGAAAAATAATTGTAGGCTAATAGATTTCAAAAAATACATGAACATATTTGTCTATGATAAATCCCAACTACCACAAGCCAAAGCAACCTTGACTACGCTAGTATCAATCGCGGTAACGTTTTGTTGAGTATTTTACCATTATTCTATTCCAAAGTTTAGCCTAATTTCAAATTTCGCAAGGTATAGCACAACAGTTGCTGCTATCAACATATGTAGCAGAAGTTAACACAGGAAATGAATTTTTATGTTAATCAATACTGTACATGACAAATAAAGTTTATATCTGTACAATGTCTATTTGAAAATATTAATTTAGCACAGTCCCTTCTAGCAGTGATTGTGTATCTCCTAGCAACTGCATTAATTACAATGACATCACATAATGATTATGTTTGCTTTTATTATAACATGCAGTTCTGACATCATTGCTGGTTTGAAGTAAATTATTTTATGTAATGGCTGCACACACATAACAACACAATAATACTTTCTGAAATTTTTGAAAATTTGTAACAAACCAAGAAACACATTTACTGTAGCTCTTGGTAGACTAACAATAACATATTTACTAGAAATTGCAAACTGCAAGTGAAGTGCTGCGAAGTACAACTGCATATAAATGTTCTTTGAACAAAATTATTTATGCGATTCAAGTGAAAATAATTAATAATAAAAATATAACAAATAATATGAGACACGACCCATTGTCTATATTAGAACACTTCTCGTTGGGTAACAAAGTTGTAATTTTTCATTTTTGTCAAAAAGTGTCAATAGTGGTGAATTATGGTTTAGGTTTTTTTTTAATAAAGTTTCAAAAATTTCTAACGTATGTGGAAAATGTAGTTGATTACCAAAGGTTACAATTTTTATTTTGAAGACTGCATGGTCTAGGAAGTGTACATTTTTTATGGGGCCAGTTTCCAAGGGCGGGTTTTCTAGGGACGAGTAAACTGCCAAAGAGTGTTGCCAAAGTGCGAGCCAGCGTGTTATTTGATCACAAGTGCAAGACATCGCAAGTGCGAGACATCGCAATTGCGAGCCATGACGTCACGACAATAGATACGAGACGTACTCGAGTTGTGCGAGGTATCGGCTGAGATTTGTGTAGTACAATTCAAAAAAGAACTATAGGTCTAATAATGAATTATTGTGATGTTAAATAGACAATGTTAGCTATCAAGGAGCGATGTTTTTTATTGGGACCTTCGTCCCTTCAAGGCTAGGCCTATACGATCCTAGATAGTCTAGGCCTAGAGTAGGATAAGGCTAGCGCGACATGCAGACGTTGGTACGTGTTGGTTAGTCTACAAACGTCGCCTAAAGTAATTGATTTTAAACGGCAGAACAAAAGAAGGAAACACCGCTTTTCAGTCGTCTTTAGGCCCTTGTTTTTTGACAAACAATGACCTTTCAGAGGTCAAATTGTTGTCAAAATATGAATTGGCTGCTTCGCAGCAATTACACACTTATAAAACATTAGGTTATCGTTTCATAATGTTCTTTCTGAGAAAAAATGCCTCATCAGAAAATGAGACTTTAGATGTTTGTACTGGATTTAACAGCATCCCCGAGTGTTATATTTATTAAGCCTTTCTTATCACAAGCCATCAGTATTACACTTATGTTTTAATGGTATCTTGATTAATAACAAATTTAAATAAAAAATGTTGTAATATTGAATTGCATTCTTAAAAAATGGTCTGACGTAGGCAGTACTGATGCAATTTATTATACGTTAGAACCCCCTCCTTTGGGACACCCACATTCAGGGGACACTCCTATGGGGATATTTTTCCGGGAAAAGAGGGGAAATGTATCTTTTAACACTACAGACAACCCCTCATCCTTAGGTCAATTAAAATACAATTATAAAGAATCTTCTTCATCTTCTTACGGGCCAACTTCATAATTGAACACTTTGGCGCTGTAGCTCATTTTATTTATTTTTTATTTTTTCAGGAAAGAAATCTAAGTCATCATTGTACAAAATCATGCCAAAAACCCCTATTAAGGGGACAATTTCATGTATTTGATTAGTGTCCCCTGAATAGGTGTACACCTATTCAGGGGACACCAATTTTTTGGTCCCGAAGGTGTCCCCTTAATAGTGGTTCTACTATACTTATTGTTGAATCACCTATACTAACACAAAAAGCACTCTAAGAGAAGACATTACTGGAAAAAAATCAATCATCAAGCATCGTTGAACTTAATGAGGAACAGTGATGATGACATACAGTACTTTCCTACTAAATTATATGCAAAGTATAGACCTTGCTTAATAAAAATTAATTTTTGCTTAAGTCAGATATCTATAATACCTAGCGAAAATGTTTGCTTATATTTGTCTTTAACATATAGGTAAATATACCTTGCGATGAAAGATGGAATTGTTTGTTTTATTTTATTGTACTGACAACGGACATAATGGAGTGCATTTTGCAAGCTCAGATCTATTATTTCGTTTTTATAAGCTCAGACACGAAGGGACAATTAGGGGAAAAGAAAGTTACTGTATGAGCTAGTTCACACCTCTACTTATCGGAAGGTAGATACATTGTGCCACGTTCAATGACAGATACAGGTAGCTTTAAATTAGTACCATTTATTATAGCACAATCTACAGTATCTATCTTCTGGAAAGTACTGACCTCTCTGATGTGTAATTTGTTTTTATTTTTGTGTATTTTTAATGTTTTTTAATATTCTTCTATATTGCTTATGATTGTCTTTTTGTTATTGTGATACAACACATTGTCAGGCCTTGCCTTTGTTGCATTTCCTCCATCTAAATTTGTTGTTGTTTTATTCACGATGAAAAATAAAGATTGATTGATTGTGGATCTTCGCACTATTCATACATCATACTTAATGTATTGAATTGTATTTTGGTTTTTAACCAGAATAATGGAATTGATATACTGTAGTATTATCCTCCATATCAAACAGTGTATTTTGTGTGAGGTTATGCTCCACATTGGACTGTTTTTATTAATAATAATATGGTACTAACTAAAATCTGCCAGTATCTGTCATTGAACATGGCACAATCTTTCTATCTAAAATAAACTTTAAATCTATGACAGTTTCAAAATTTAAAAATTCTATATCAGGTCTCTAAAATCTAAAACAAATATTTCCTTTACCTTGCATTTATATTTTTCATTTAAATGTATTTTTTATTGTTATGTAACTTTAATGTATATTTTTCTTTCATTTTACCTTGTATATACTTTATAACAAAATTCATTGTTTAATTTTTCTTATTTGTTAATACTGAACCACTTCAGAAATCAATGATGTTTTAGCTCTGAAAGTGTCATTCGGTATAAAGAAATAATAAATAAATAAATGTTTTAAAAAAATTGTAATTTCCTAAAATCATATTAAATTTGAAATTTATTAATTATTGTTGTTATAATATTTAATCATAATTTTATTATATCACAAACCTAGTTTGTTTGAAAATAATGTTATAATTAATAGCATACTTGACAAATCTAATACCGGCTGAGCTCAATATGTTTTTATTAAAAGGTTACACTTTATAATTTGTCATGGGTTTTTTTTTATCAAAAATTACAAAACATACAATTCTAAACTAAGCAGTTTCAATAGAGTAAATCTTGATTAATTGAAATAACCTATAAAAAGATATTTTACTAATACTGTCTTAGAGGCTTAAAATCTAATGGCACTTGCCAATTATTATTGTTTATGTTAATGTTGAAGATATTACAGGAGCATGGAGGTATTACAGTAGATTAATACTATCGTTGGAGTTATGTGTTTAATGTACTTAAAATGATGATAAAGGGTATTGTCAACCAAGGATTTGGTTATAAATAGATTAGGGGGCTGTTGTGATTCCCGTTTGTTCAGGCTAAATTTACAGCTTTTCATTTTACTGCACAATGGGAAATAAACGTCTGTGTACCTTTACCGTCAGGCAGAACTCTGAACAAATACACAAGATTTACTAAAGACATGTTTGTTTTTACCATGGTGATAGGATATACCTAGTGAGTTGTTTGTACTAAGCATCAGATGCAATCAGTGATCCACTTTGTAAACAAAATTGAATTTAACAATTGAGTTGATTTCCTTGGCTCTATGGATGTTACATGTCTGAATACATCCATAAGACCATCAGGCATATTTAAAATTTAACAGCCTAGACTGAACTGATTTACATTCAGTTGTAAAACTATATGTTTACAGTGTAGTACAACTTGGGAAATGTCAAAAAATATCTGGAATCTTAATATTAACAGGAATTTAAGGACATGTTAAATTCAAAGACGGCAACAAAAGTAGTAGACGGCAATGTCAACAACAATGTTAATTATGGATGATGATATGATGATGATGATTGTAACAATGACGATGATGATGATGATGATGATGATGATGATAATGATGATGATGACGATGATGATTACTGTATGATTATGACAATAATGACAATGATGATAGTTATAAAAATGATAATGAGGATGTTTTTATTTTTATCACAATCAAAATGATCATGATCATGGTGATCTTGCATCTTTAGATCATGCAATAAAGTATCAATAATCACTTCATCTAACAAAAATTGTAAAGACGCTTGGTGACTTTTATGATAGTGACGTCACCCTCAACCACTTAAAGGGAAAACGTAAACCTAATTTTACAATTTATTTATTTATTTATTTGTCAGAAAATATTTGTACAATGCAAGATGGGTGGGCAAGTGTGGCCTAATATATTACAACTTGCTTTGAAAGAGAATATTGGTCATCAAAACACATTGCTACATATATATTAGCATTTGTACATTATATCTTGCTGTGCTATACATACAGTAATGTATTCTAATTCAAAACTTTGATCGATTACTGTACTGTCGTTGAACAGTTTGACTATCTAGGAAAATGTGACTATGTAAAGCTTTTAAAACCAATGTCATCACACGTATGACATAAGTTTATAACCTATATGCAGGCCTTAAATCAAACATAATGTTGAGATGCAGATGATGATGAAGATAATGATACAGTTAGTATGATGAAATGTTTTTGTTTTAGTGACTTCAAACAGAATGACCTGTAACTTCAATAACTTGTAATTCACTTAAATTATAAATACGTGAAACAATTTAAATTCAAATTTACAGTTCAAATAATTTATAAATAGCATTAATTTTTTTCAGCTTAATATTTATGGTCAAGGTTTTAATAAGCTATGCTTCAGGACTATATCTTACAGTATTTGATATAGGTCTACAGTATCTGATCAAATATTATTTATCTAATCAACTACAGTAGGCCAACCCGGTAAAACAAATTTGTCCTACTGTGTATTCAGTTAAACATTTCCTTTGAATCACTGTGTTTCTTCTTAATACTATTAAACTGATGTACACCTTAAACAACACATACTGTACTGTAGGCCTACACTTGCTCTCAAAAAGCAGGTGGTTTTGGCTATAGATATGTATTCACTTTGTAGTCATTTTACCCAAATTGACATCTACTTATCTCTGATTAAATATAGTACTTTTGAATTTATAGTCACTATAAATTCCAAATGATGAAAAATATAAATAAAATTGATTCTTTTTTTTTTATTAATGAATTATATTAGGAATAACAATTTCATTTTCATTTCATTTATTTATTCCAGAAATACATAAGCAAAACATAAAGAAAACAAGAACTGAGGTAAAGCCACATGCTAGCCCGGAGGAATCCAATAGCAAAAAATATCACTTTCATGGGAAATCCTAACGAACATGTGTCAACAAAAAAACATACAATTACATAAATTATTAACAATAATAATAATAATAATAATAATAATAATAATAATAATAATAATATTGAAAGCACAATAAGATTAAATTAGTTCAGACTGTAAAGAAGGTGATTCTTAAGTTTAGTTGAGAATTGCTTTAAGCTAAAAACACCCTCATTTTGTATAACAGGTAAGTTATCTCACACCCCGAGGAAAGCGAATAAAAAGAAAAATTTGTTCTTACTCGATTTTGAATACACTCCTTCCATTTACAGGTCATTTTAAAGATTATGAAAAACTGATTGTATACATGAAAAAAAATGGAGACAAGGAATAACCTTGCATAGCATGGATTCAAAGGGGTGTAAACCTCTTTCCCCACCAGTTTTTAAATATTTAAAAATTACAAATGCATGTTTCCCCCCCAAAAAAAATTTGACCCCAGCGTAGGGGATTGTCTCCCAGTGTACTGCCCAATTCACCACCAAAAGGACCCCAGCGGAAACAAGTCTTCAGACATAGTGGTTTCATGTGATTCACACCAAATATACTCTTACTAGTAACCAATCCTAGCTACAGTACAGGTACTATTGAAAAAGTTTGAAGCAAAAAAATCACGCTCAAGTAGTTAGTCAGTAGTAAGGTCATACCATCTTTATTTTCAAGCTGGCACTATCCTCATGTAATCATTGATCACCCTTCCACGCCAATTCACCTTTGCACCGCCCTTAATTTCAAGACTCCTAGATACACCACTGGCTTTTTCCTCTATATCCTGGCTTTAAGTGAGAATAAAACAGACTAATGAATTACGTACCAGTTACCACCATCTGGTTTCCTAAGTTATTTTTTCCACTACCTCCACCACCACCTGTGTGAAAGAACTGCTGCCTATTATTGGCTGTTGAATATGACGGGGTGCTACAATTTAACAAGCTGTTGTTTCTGTAAGTTTGGTAGGGGCTGGAAATCCGTTTGTTTAGGGGTAACGGAGGCAGCCGGCGGGTGCCAACTTGACGAGCCGGGCTAGACATCTTAATGACAACTTCTTGTTCACCACTTCAGTGGTATATTTAGTCCAAAGTGAAGATAAACTATGTCATACTTTCTTGAATCATCAAACAACCATGTTCTGAAAAAAAAAAAAAAAAATCAGTAAAACAATTCTGTCTGGTCCTTAAAAATGCATAAACAAGACATGGTTAAAATAAGAATGGATTTTTTTTATATATTTTTTTATATTTTTGTAACAAAGAAAACAATTTTCATGACTTTTCAATTATTTCATGACAATAAAATTCATTCTAATTCTCAATATATAGCCTAATCTATATGTATTATGCAGTGGCCAAGATTCTGCGCACCTGTTTTTCTAGCGATTTTTTTAAATAGTTTTTTATGTATCCCTCGTGCAATTAAAATACTTTACAGTATGGCCCTATTGTATACTTTCTACTGACGTGTCAAAATTAAAACATCAAAATGTGATGCCAGTGGTTGCAAGGGTACATGCGTGCATGTGCAGTGTGGTCTGATGTGTGGATGCTAAATAAAAATCTGATTTCAAGTAAGCACGATCCCTGAACTGCGAGTAATGCAACCAAGGCTGAATAATTATTTTCTCCAATAATACTTCTTCTTCCACTGCACAAGCTCCATCCTAAGCACTCTGGCAGTTGGTGTTGGAGGCTATGTAATTGTTAACATGTTGAGTCCAGAGTGCCAAAACAAGTGTACATGTAAAACATACTTTTTTGAAATTTCATCTAGCCATATATCATCAAAATGATGTGTCTAATAAATAGGCAGAAAAATATTAGGGGGCGAGTAAACACTGTGATAGCATTTTTTATTGACTATGCCAAGTGCGAGTTATCTCATCCACTTCTTGCATGGGTTGGTATATGTTCAAAGGGTGCCCCCACTTGCCATTTGAGTGTACTACTGTACCAGCAACATAACACAACAAATACGTCATTTGTATGTTATCGTCTAGGTGTATCTTCCCTGATGCCATCGAGTCTGTGGTTCTACAATTTACAACGAAGAAGTTATAAACGCTAGAATGTTACCCCGATTCTGCAACACCCTGTGGGTGAGTATACTCGTCACTGGCAGCCAACGTGTTAATGTGATTGTAGAATGTTGAGACTGTTATGTGGAAGGAAAACAAATCAGGGCAGAACTATTTTAATAAGTAATAAAAAAAAAAAGTAATATTAATAATAAATAACAATAATAATAATAATAATAATAATAACAACAATAATAATGTTAATTATAAGAATAATAAAGGATAACTATTATTAATATTATTATTATTAATGATAATTAAGTGCACAATTTTTAAAGAGGCTTTTTGAGAGGGCACCTAGTGAATTGAAAACAACTAAACCACTTCCCTGAGACCTCCTAGTTAATTTCCCTCGTGGAAGATTCAGGAGGGAACAAACCAAGTACCAAAAGTACCTACCATTGGCCAAGTAAACAAAACTTTAGGCCCTAAATAATAATTACCGGTAATCCCAAATAATAATTCAGTTGCATACAGGTCCATAATGGATCGCACTTGATCCCCAATATGGGCACCGTCAATCCGCCAATGTCAACACCCCTACGATCTTTCTTTAATCGGTATTCTTAGGCCATCTTTTTTATTTTCCATTTTTATCGATTGGTACCATTGCCAAGCAACGGGAGCAAGTCTTAGTCGTCGCCGCGTTCTTACCTTTTTTAGGACGAACCTTACTCAATGTAGTACGCGTATTGGCCTAGTAAAAACCTAAACAATTCATGGAAAGTCGGTCGTATTTATAACTAGCATTACTAACAAACGATTTTTAAACACACAGGTCTAACCCTAAAATTCTTACCAAGGCTTGTAGTAGGCCTCATATGTTCCGATTCATCTAATACAATTTATCATCATCCTCACTACATCCAAGTAAATCACTGGCCTTGTTCGGCGCACGCTCCTTTGTAGGATTCGTTGTGATGACAGCAGTCAACCAGCAGCAATCAAGTATTGGCACAGTCCATTTATTGCAGGGTAAATATCATTTTTGAAATAATAATAATAATAATAATAATAATAATAATAATAATAATAATAATAATAATAATAATAATAATAATAATAATAATAATAATAATAATAATAATAATAATAATGACGATGGTGGTGGTGATGATGATGATGATGATGATGATGATTTTGATAAAGCCACATAAAACAAATTAATATGAAATCACCATCTTCATAACCAGAAAGCTTCTCGCGCATGCGCGGATCCAGCAAGGGCCCAAATTAAAATGTTAATGCATATAATATAATATGCAAAAATTTGCGCTAATCACGTATCTATCATAAGAGTGTTGAAAAATTGTGGATCCGCCTCTGTTCGTGACGTACCGGTACATGAACGTCGTCCAATGTGTCTTGCTTCTGTCAAAAGGTGGAGTTGTGTTTTTAATCATGTGTCTATAACATTGTAACTGCCTTCTTTAATTATTTTAGCTCCAATTCGTAATGTGTGATTTTACAGCTCCGTGTTTCCGCCTCCGTCGACTCATCTCTCCAATGTCTACTAAATTTCCTTTGAAATATTTTGATTAAGTGTTGGCGAGTGTCCCAAACTCGCTATCATAAAAATGCTGCCTACATACATGTTGAATAATCTTATAATGAACAATTCACACGTTCACATTTTCCAAGTGTAACAAGTTGTATACCAGGTTTCAGTGTGAGTGTGCAAACATGTAAAAAATTTCCGAGATTTCGCCGGGCAGGGGTCTCTCTGAGATGTCTCAGAAGAAAAACAGGCCAACATTAAAACAGGTAAAAAAAAGTACAAGTTTTCAAA